CACCTGCACACATTATCAATTCGATGGGCATCATTGATTGCCCTCAACCGAGGGGATTAACTGCCCATCGCAGTCTAACATCTGACCTCTAGTCTGAATCCCTCGTCATCTTCAGAATCGCTCTTGCTGCACCCGGGGAGGAGGGGCTTTCAGAGCAGGGATTTTGGAAAATCAATTATAGCAAAACCTTGGATACCCCCCCACGATCCTCATATTCTACGAATCCACTCAAGTGGGGGGGCACAGTTTACACAGATTACACAGATCACCCGGATTCACACCCACCAACCTAATTAAACAACAGGTCACCAATCACTCACTCAGGCCGCCTGCCCCGCCAATCTATCAAACTAGCAGCGCTAATGACTGCTTGTTCTAACACGTGGCACAATCCAGAATCAACACAGGAAATGAAAATCACCAAGCGGAATTGCCACGTGGCCAAGACAGGAAGCCACGATCCAGCGACGACCCAACATATAGCTTTCACTGTCCAACCCCCTCTCGCCACCTCCCCCCTCCTCTCGCACTATCCCACCCCCTCCCGCCACTTCCCCACTCTTCGCGCCCACACCCCGCCTTCCCGTTTGCCAATCCACCCTATCTTCCTCGTCACTCGCCCATCCCCAATCGAGCTCACCGCCTCACGATTGGTGTCATTTTTGTTGTCAATGATATTGTTTTCCGTGTTGAAAACATCGAAAGGACGAAGATCCGGGCCCCTACCACACCCTCCCACCCTCCCACCCCGATTCCACAGGATCGGCACAATACTATATCGCCCGTACAAGCTGACCCCGTCCAAATCGATGTCCGCGGCGTCCTGGATGACGTGGATGCGATCGTCACCGTCATCTTGACGAAGATCACCGTCCGCGCCATTATCGTTTTTGTTGTTGTTGATGCCGTTGTTGTTGTTGTTGTTGTTGTTGTTGTTGTTGTTGTCGTTGTTACCGGTGTTGTTGTCGCTGTTGTCGTTGCTGTTGTTATTGCAGTTGCTGTTGTTGTTGTTGTTGCCGTTGTTACCGACGTCATTGTTGTTACTGCCGTTACTGTTGATGGCGTCGATGAGAGCCACAGCGGTGAGATAGTCTTTATTCTTACTGTCGGTGTTGATATCATCATCGACAATGTTGTTAGCGGCATTCATGATGTTGTTATCATCATAATGGTAGCGGTCCTCCAGCGCAGCACAAAGGTCTTGCCCCTCCTCAATCACCTCATAATACTGCTGCATGAATTCGTCCAATCGTGGCCAGTCAATGAACGCACTTAGATGGGGGGGCGGCCCCTCCTCCAACCCCCATGTAGTCTCCAGTAAGCGCTGCCGTTCACCCAGGACCCACGATATCGACGGAACACTTGTTTCAGCCGCCGCCCGTCGCAGGCTTGCCACCACCTGGCTCACACGCATCCTGCTCACTTGGACGGTAGCAAGCCACGCGCCAACCTCTTGTTCTCCCAAACTCGCCATCGTCTAACACCCTCAATTCTTCACCTCTTCGTGTATCACATCCCACGTCACACACCCCTACGCACACCTAGCCATACCCCTCCTAACTGATCTTGTCCTCCCAGAGGACCTCAAACACCATGCCACGTGGCACGCTATCGATCAGCTCAGAGGCCACGTCAGCAACCCTGACGTGTCGCACGATGAGCAGGCCGGGCCGTGCCGGCCGGTCCCCGGTGGGAAACAAGGTGCAAGCGGTCTGTAACGCAGTGCTCTTAACACCGAGAAAGACTCTTTCGTTGTGTTCGCCCAAGGCTGATATTACCAAATTAAATAAGAAGATTGAGGCCGGGGTCCTCACAGTCTACCCGGAGAAACCGAACCGAACAAGCTGAGAACCGGGCTCAGCGTCCCTCATACGATGATGATGATGATGATGATGATGATGATGATGATAATGAACTTCTAATGATTGTATGAGAAATGTGGGATAATAATACTAATGATGATGACGATTAGTATCTGAATAATTTTAGAAGTTTATGCTATATCAACAAATCTGGCCTTCTCTGACCACTAATAAACACAAAAAGTCAATAGCGTCTAATGCGTCTCGGTGGGGTTGTGGTCCGTCGCTCCCCCCGCTCGAGTGTGCTCCTGCGTGCCGCATGTATCGGCAGGTCCTCTCCGTCAGCCTCCTCTGCCACGACGTTAGTATGATCGTCGTTGACCACCGGGATGCCATCCCATCTGATCTCCCTCTGTGATGCCGATATGAGGGTGTCCATGCGACATCTGCCTCGCGTCATCTCCAACCCCTCGCCTCCTATGGTCTCACCCTGCCGGCGTGATGCTCGTCGACGTGTCGGCCTCTATGTCCTAGAACGCCCCACCACATCTACCCCAAGGATCTGTGACACCTCCCTCAATCCATGAGTCCACACTCGTGAACCAGGCGCTGCACATCCACCTCCGCCCGCACCCTCAACGGGAGCATCTAACCTGCCATGATGCTCGAACCCAACAGCATGCACGTGACAAGCGCTGCCTCCCCAACCCGGGCTGCTTCTTCCTACTAGCCGTCGTCGACTTCCTCGTGTGGCTCCACAACATGTAAGTGCGCCCGAGTAAAGATGCAGCCACGACCCTCGTTGTCGCCTCTCGACGCTCTCGGGGTCTGCCCATCGCTGAGGTCGGCACAGATGGCCGTGTCCCACGATCTCGTGCCAAACTGGGAGGGGACTGTTCCGCACTAAGTCCCATGGCACCCAGCGCCACTTAAGCGTTCGAGGGCAGTGTGGGGCTAGCAGGGCCCCATGAAATGGCCTTAAGGTTGGGCTGAATATCCATGCCAGGCCTACTTTGGGCACTTTTCCTTATGTCGGGTAACAGACAGTTGCTACACGTCGGTGCAGCAACTGTCTGTTACCTGACATGAGGAAAAGTGTCCAAAGTAGGCTTGACATGGATATTCAGCCCAGCCTGAACTTAAGGCGGGCACGGGGCTTGATGGGAGTAGCAACCCAGAAGGAAAATAAATACTGAACTCTCTGCCAAAAAGATAAAAAAACAAATTGAACTTTTGGTTTGCATGTTTCTGTTTTCGCAATTGAAATTGAACAGAACAATGCACACATATTAAAAAATGTTGACATATGGCTGCACACAGTCTGTGGCTAATAACATTTGCAACATCTTAACACAGAGTTATGTCGTGAAAAATGCCATGAAAAATAACAATTATTACCGTCGAAGTAAGCGTACCATACGAGATATGAAAGGTCGAAACGTATGTGCTCCAACAAAGTTTCACAATGAACCATATGCATGAAAGAGAAAAAAAAAACACTGTCTAATAACAAAAAAATGATGCTAATGCGACACAAAGTAATGGAACGTGTCAAAACTACATGATGTGGTCGTGCCTCTGACCACTAATAAACACAAAGAGTTAATAGCGTCCAGCACGTCTCGGTGGGGTCGTGGTCCGTCGCTCGCCATGCGCGAGTGTGCCCCTGCGTGCCGCATGTATCGGCAGGTCCTCCTCTCCATCAGCCTCCTCTGCCACGGCGTCAGTATGATCGTCGTCGACAACCGTGATGCCATCTCGTCTGATCTCCCTCCGTGACGCCGATAGGAGGGTGTCCATGCAACGTCTACCTGACATCATCTCTTGCCCCTCGCCTCCTATGGTCTCACCCTCCCGGTGTGATGCTCGTCGATGTGTCGGCCTCTATGTCCTAGGAGGCCCCACCACAATTGCCCCAAGGATCTATGACACCTCCCTCAATCCATGAGTCGACACTCATAAACCAGGTGTTGCACATCCACCTCTGCCCGCACCCTCAACGGGAGCATCTAACCTGCCATGATGCTCGAACCCAACAACATGCACCTCCCTCGTCGATGACGTGGACGAGCACCGCCTCCCCAAACCGGGCTGCTTCTTCCTGTTAGCCGCCGATGACTTCCTCGTGTGGTTTTACTGCGCGTCAGTGCGCCCGAGTAAAGATGCAGCCACAACCCTTGATGGCCTGCCTGCCGCTGAGGTCGGCGTAGACGGTCGTGTCCCACGATCTCGTGCCACACTGGGAGGGGGTTGTGCCACACTAAGTCCCATGGCACTCAGCGCAATTGAAGCGTCTGAGGGTGGTGTGGGGCTAGCAGGGCCCCATGAAACGGACTGCACGCGTGGTAGAACTCCTTTGGCTTTCTTTGAGCTGATCCTCACTTCACGTCTCATCTTTGTGAGATCCTTCGCAAGGCACGCGCCCAACTCATCAACAGTCATCGCGCCGAACATCAAACTGCCTTGGGGCTGCTCTATATACGGAGTGCCTTGCCTCTCCGGGCCAGGTGGACGACGACGGCGCCGCTGAGGGAATAAGCGGTGGCGGACGTTGGAATGCAACGTTGGCCAATGCAATGGACGATGTGCGGTCGTTGATACGTCCTGCTAAATGGGCGCTGGCACCTCAAACTCTCGAGAACAAGTGATCGACTTCATCCCTTCATCGGTCGGTGCGATGGGCGCCATGACACGTACTCCCTCCGAAGCAGGTATAATCGTACACGCACCTGCGTCCCCGTAAAGCTTCTAACATGTGTCCTCCTCCACCTCCGCACGAACCGGGAATGCCTCTCCCCCCACTGGCGCAAGACTCGTGTTTGCCTCATCATCCTCAGCGTCTCCCGCTCGTACCTCTCATGGATCTCCCAACATAACCGTGTCTCCACAATCCACCACCTGTGCAGCCACCGCCTGAGCGGCATCAGGCTCTGCCATAGTGGAGTCACCCAATCTCTCACCACTCGCCTCTCCCTCGTGTGCCTATGCTACACAGACCGAGTCTCCATGACGTGCCTCTGCTGCGATGAATGTGTTGACGATATCGGACTCGTGTGTCTCACTCTCTTTCTCTCTATCCGCATGTAAAGTTTCCCCATCTGCCTCCTCAACGAACCCGCGAGACTCCAATGTCTGTGTGTGCGCAGTGGCACCTACGCCCTCCGGCATCGTATCCTCCGCAACCATGTCATGCACGTCCTCGTGAAAGCTATCCACTCCTGCTCACCCAGTCACCGGCATCGCCCTCCCCACCAACTCTAGCGCACGTCTAGCCTCCATGTCACGCGTCACGGCCTGTGTGCGCGGGTCAACATTGGCTAGGGCCTTTGCCCATGTGGCCTCCTCCTCGTCCTTCCTCGCCTCTCGAGCCATGCGCTCGTCCTCTGTGTCTGGTGCAGGCTCTCCCGTGTGAAGCGGTAATGGCTGAGGCCGGACCACCTCAACGCCGGCCTCCTGCGCAAGAATGGCCTCACCCTCCGTCATGGAGGGCAGAGTGACCTCGAGCTCCTTCATGAAATCGCGCATGGATGCCGATTCCATAGCATGGTCCCCGAGTCCAGGCTGGTGATGTTGTGCCCCCTCATGAGCCTCATCGTCCAACTCCCTGCGACATACACTACCACCGGGAGGCTCCCCGAGCGTCCCCAACTCCCCTAGCGACCATGCACTCCCCAACCCAGAACCAATAGCACCACCCAAATCTCCTCTCTGCCCTCCCCCAGTCCCCGCACCCATCGACGACGACCACGACTCAAAATCCAGTATGAGTTCAAGTTGTCTCTTGGGGTTCCTCGGACCCTTCCTAAGCCGCTGAAGCGCCACACCCCTGCCATGTCCCCGGGAATGGTCGCCGTTGGTGGATATGCTCACCTAGGTTTGGATTGAAAAAGGCAGATTACCCAATTAATTAGGTACAGGAGGCGAAACGGCATCTCGTTACAACACAGCCCTTACGTAATACCGATGAAGTCCACCAGTAAAGATGGATCACAGAGGATATATAGTACCCGCAATGTAACTTAATTGAATGAATAATATCATGATTGAATTTTATTTAATTAATTGAATTGGGGAAGCATGAACCCCGCACAACGGAAGATACGCCCCCGACTCTCGAACCCTGCTTGTCATAGGCTCCTCGCATGCCTGATATGCCCCCCTGTGTGGACGGGACGAGGTAGGTCCAACATGTTCAGGCGCGGATGAGGTATGATCGAGAGGCACGCCATGAGGGCTCCCCGATCCGCTCCAACATCCCTCAAATCCAGCCATGACCCTCCCTGTGTCCTCGAATATCTCTCTGTTGCCGCTATGGTGACGAACCTCCTCAGGGTCACTACATGCATTGTCGTCCTTTGCACGTGGAGAACCTGCACCCCGCGGGGGCGAAATCCCTCTTCATGTACCTCACACTCATCTCCACAAGAGTCATCTTTTGGGTACAGCCTCAAAGTGATGGCCCGGACCCCGAAAACATCCTCGACCGGCGGCGGTGACCGTGAACCGCAAGCATCCAACCGTCTGTGCATCACGGTCCTCCTCTGATATCCTCTGGTCCACCCCCTCGCAGATAGCGTCTGCCTCCAGGCCACCCTCGTTGTCCAACATGAACTCGTCCTAAGTCCATGAAAGAACCAAACCGCCCCCCTCGCTCCGGAGAGCCAGAAGTCGCGTGTTGGCTGTGATCTCGACCAACTTCGCGACCTTCGGGAACAACAACCTGTTACGCTTCTTCGTTTGAGTACTTTCGTGGATGACTCTGTTCCTCTTCGTCGGAGAGGAGCACATCCACATGTACATGACACAAAGAGCGATAGGCTGAAGCTCGGGAACACAACTGCCATACTGTGACCACCACAAACTGTAGTCGACGGTCTCCTGCCCCTCAACATACATCTCCGCAGCGGAGCGCGCCTGCTCCCCTCCCCATGAGCAAGTCGAAGTCCGCATGTGAAAGTCCCGCAGCTGAAACACAGTGTCTCGGTACTCCTTGCCTCGCTCGTCGAACCCAGTCTACTACAGAATATACCGCTCTGCCTCCCTCACAAGTCGTGCGTCCTCATCCTTTACCACGACGCTGTAATACTGCATCGACCTCCTCATCGGGCAGAGGAGGTAAACCGCAGCGTGCACAAACTCACACATATGAGCACTGTAGACTTGCACGCACCTGAAAATCTGGTCCGCCAATCGATCCTAGAGCGGAGCAACGACCGCCTCCACGTCCTCCGCTAACCACCCCGCCCGGTAAACCACTCTCGACATGCACTGCCCTCCGTGATCCATCTTGCGCAGCAGATCATAAACTTGCTCCATAACGACATGCAAGATGTCCTCGAAGTCCCACCAGCTGTCGTGCCGGATCTGCCACCACACCCAGCGCACATGCTGCCTGATCGATGTAGTCGCCCAAGGCTTCCTGCACCAGTCAATCCTGTCCACTATCTGCTCCAAAGGACGCCAGACAACATCCAACCGCTCTAACATCGCGTAGATAGATGCAAATCGAGTCTCATACGAGTACAACACCCCAAGATGGCGACTCTCTCTCCTGAACAGGAAATGCACTTGATCGTGCATTTTTTTGAAATGCACTACCGCTCTCGCCCGCACAATAATATCCACACACCACGACCCCGCTACCTCGATGTCCAACAACAATGCGCCGCGCACGGGGGGCACGTGATGCGTCTGTACTCAGGCCGCATATGTGGATCGGCCAAAACGTTGGCTGCCTTTATGTAGGCAAACGCAGAGTCTGTGCAAATTGCGTTGACCCTATTTGGACCGAAGTCGTGGAAGACTGATATCCACCTCCCCAACATTGCCATCGCATCATCGGACTCACCCTCCCTATTGAGGATGCTCCACATCATCACTCCTCAAGCACCAACACTTGTATATCCTTAAGACCGACAACAACGTTGATTGCCGTTTCAACCACCGTATCCATTGATTCAACTTCGTTCTCAGAAGGCCAAATCACGGACACCAAAGGGGGTTTGTCCCTGAAGTGTGCGGTGTATGCGTTCCATGCGGGGCTCCGAAAGATGTTGAAGGCTAGCTGGTTGTTGTACACGAAGCGCAACCACAACTTCCTGTGTTTGGCAGCCCAGTCAGACCCGAACACCTCTTTTATCGTTGGCTGCCTCATCTTCTTCCCCTGCTGCATCATGACACCATCCATAACCTTCCTCCTCCCTAAATTTGAACCACCCTCACCAACGGGCAACTTGCCTAACTGCTGCGAGTATGTACCCGCGTCCTCCCTGCCACCCTCTCCCTCGCCATCCAAATCGATGATGTCATCGCCCTGCCGCCGTGCCCCAACTGGGGCTGTGGACGCCGCCCTCGCCTTTTTTTTTTTTTTTTTTTTTTAATAGGAACAAGGCTCCAATCTATTCGTGGGGAGCAGCACGTGCTGGAAACCGGGCCCAGCGTCCCATATGGAAATTTACATAGAATTCTGAAAGTTTAGATACCGGGGCCATTACCCGACTTTGGCTAAGAAAAAATTGGGGCTCCTTAGGAAATTACTACGACAAACTTCATAAATAGGCAAAAATTCAGAGAATGACTCAGACCCCCCCCCTCAATCCTCTTTACCTCACTCCGGCAAGACTTACTGCAACAGAGCCACCATCTCCGCGGCTGCTGTTCCTTATTTCCATCATACCAGCTAGCCCCCTCACTAGTAGGATGCTTGATATCCCACCATCTTCTTTTGAAGACCCCACCCACCCTTTTTTTTGGAACAAAAAGATATGCACAATTTAAAAAGGGATCCAAACACCGCCAATTAATCCCCTAAACCCCACTCCGGCAAGACTTACTGTAGCAGAGCCACTATCTCCTTTGCCGCTGTACCCTATTCCTATCCTACTAGCTAGCCCCTTCACTAGTAGGACGCTTGATATCCCACAATCTCTTTCTCCCACTCACCTGGATCCCCTTTTTGAAAACGTCTGAGAACACTTGCGGTATTTCAGGAGGCATGGGAATAGACCGCAAAGGTCCTACAAATGCTCCAAAACTCTCGAAATCTCTAACAGACTCTTCCAAAGTTCTCCAACATTGTCTTACTCCCCGTTGAGCTCTTCCAGGCATCACACCCCCATATCATGTTGGGTTACAGGGCAACACAACTTACCCCAGCTCCGACCGGCGTCGTCCCAGCAGCAACCCTTGGTTGTCCCGTGGAATGCCCACCCCAAAGCATCCCAAATCTCTCTACCAGGCCTCACGCTCCTGCATCAGCAGGTTACAGGGCAACACCCCAGCAGCGGCCAGCGTCGTTCTGGCATCGAACAACTGCAGATCACTGAGTATAACAGCATCGAAGCCACCTAAAATGAGTTGCTAGGAGTCCCCAGAGTCCTAAAACATTCTTAAGACCACCAAACAGCCAACTTACTTGTGAAGAAAACAAAAACCAACTAAGATTATCCGAGGCTTTCAAACAAAAAACCACCTGCCCTGATGCATTTCAGTATCCCAACCTTATCCGCCTCCGCCCGAAACCCCAATACTCAATCTCTACCAGGCCTCATACCCCCAACTGCCAGGTTACAGGGTGGCGCGACCCACCCCCACCTGCTAGGCTACAGGGCAGAGCGACCTGCCCCGACTGCGCCCAACATTGAATAAACACCAGCCCACCAACAGACAGTAGAGCGCCTTCCACCCTCGACGACTCCCCAAATTTCTCAACCAGGTTTCATGCCCCTATACGGCTCGAGTTACAGGGCAGCGCTACCAAGCCCCAACACCAACTAGTGTCGTTTTGGCCTCGTCCATTCGCAGACCATTGGGACTAACGGACGTTAGCAGTTAACAGACAAGCCACCAATCCTCACCATAACTATGGTTCCTATCATCCAGCTCCTCCAGGCACTGGTTGCAATCGGCCAACAAAATTTATTCTCACCCCTACTCCGACAAGACTTACTGCGGCTGAGCCACCATCTCCACCGTTGCTGTACCCTATTTCTGCCCTACAGGCTAGCCCCTTCGCCGCAAACCGCGTTATCTCCAACCATCACCACCAAAATAACCCACTACAACCAGCATAAACTTAGATACACGTTGTTTCAAAAATAGGAGGCAAAATTATGACGTAATCGGAAGTAAGAATTGTAGAAGTTTTTTTTAGAAATTTGAGATTCGAATTTCAATACTCTGAACACAAAAATTAAGAAAAAACAATAGAAAATTTTTCCATAATTAAATAATCATTCTAGAGTAAAGTTATATTCTTAATTTTAAATTTTCATTCCATCTTAAAAAATGTCATTCCAATTTTAAAATTTTCCGTCTTACTTGAAAACTTTCCTTCCAAGAATGGGGTATCCCTTCTTATTTGAACTGCATGCTAGAGATGGAATGAAAGTCTAGATGAGTTCATGAAATATTTTAATTGGACTGCCATTCTAAGTAAGGATTTTCAGTCATAAATAGGTTAATCCAATCTAAATAAGACGATATTTGTTGTAGTAGAATGAAAGTCTAATTAAAACATTTCGTAAACTCGTCCAGACTTTCATTCCATCTTGAGCAAATAGATGTAGTTGGAAGGGAAAGCTCATAATTAAATTGAAGGTTTTAGAATTGGACAAACATTGGAATGATAATTTATAAATATGAAGATTTTTTTTTTTTATGGAATGTTTTTTCAACTTTCATTTCTCATGGGAATTTTTCTGTTGAAGTTATACGGAATAGGGAATTATAAGAGATTAGAATTCCAGATTTTGGTGTAAAAGAATTTTTAATGAGACATGCGAACGAAGTTTGAAACAGATCGCGAGATTTCAAATTTAAGAAAGTCACGTATAAGAGATTTTAATGAGATATACAAACGAAGTTTGGAACTAATTTGAACCACGATTAGGAGTTAGGACCTTGATATTTTGATCAAATTTATGAAAATCGGTATGAAGAAGTTCAAACAAGAAATTCGAAGAAAATAAAATTTGGAATATCAATCGTGACGAATTTGATCACATCAACATTACGAGATCAATCAAGAGTATACACCATTCATAGGCCTAGTGAATAAGATCGCCTACAAAATTTCTGGATGAACTTAGAAAGACTTCCAACCAGGCAACCCCTTACTGTGCCCTAACGACCCCAACATGATGCCCCATCCAGCACACCCCTTCCCTCTCAAGACCGCACCTCCCCCTTCATCGGCTCTCCTTTTACGGATCCTCGCAACACGACCTCATGCTGGGTAAACTTCACCATGTCTATGAAAGGTCGAACGATGAAGATCCTCCGACCGCAGCAGAACTCACCTTCTCTAGTTGGTCATGCCGCGTTGTGAGACTAAACTATTAAGCCTGCCAATAATCGCACACATGTAGTCTCGAGAGTATCAGGGACGCGCAAACTATGCCACCTGTCGCAGAGCACGTAGATACGTCAACCCAATCTGAGGGAATCACCTAGGTCAGATCCACCCCAATCCGTCGCATGGTCCCTTGAAACGCTTTTCCACAAACACTGAGCTGAGCAGCCAACTTCAAAGATCACACGGAGAAGAGAAGATGACCCCTCCGAACAACGTGAGCACTCAAACCCCTCCCATAAAACGCCCGCCACGTCTTATCTTCATCACCTCCCACCATAGCCCTGCCGCTTCTCCCATTGTCGTGCTCAGTTCACTCCCGCCGCCTAGCCAGGCACCATGGAGACGCGTCGCTTCGAACGAGGCATGTTTGGTCGGGCTGGGCGCCGCGGCCTCGGTAGCGCTGCGCGCTCCCCCGTCTAGGCTTCGCAACAACCACGCCGCCCTCGCCTCATGAGGCTCTCCGCCAAAAAACCTATCCCTCGCCTCATGAGGACCTCCGCCAGAAATCCTATCGTCCACCCAAGCACTGTGAAGCTCCTCGTACTTCTGGATTCGTTCCAACGACTTTCCCTCGAACGTGTACCCGCTCGTGTAATGCATGTCCACAAGAGCTTCATCGCATACCTGCCAACAACCCTTCACACTGCAAAAATGTCACGCCGCCCCATGCCTGTTCCCCTGCCACTCGTTGGCGCAAAACACGCACTGAAGCATCCTCTGACCACAAAGCTTCTCAGAAAGTTTCTGGCCAACAAGCACGTACTTGTACACACTGTTCGAATTCTTCATGCTCGCCTGTGTATCGTCGCTGGCCTGGATGAAAGTGTTGACTTGCCGCTTCGGCAATTTCGTCATGCCCCATTAACCCCTACCGAACGACCATTGGCAAGTTACTCCGGCCCCCACTCTCCCACCCGTCGGGCAGCCCGCCGCCAACTCCCCAACCTCGCCAACAATCTGGCCAAAAACTCCAGCACCCTTCGGGAAGCCCGCCGCCAACTCCCCAACCTTGCCAAAAACCCCACCACCCTTCGGGCAGCCCTCTGCCAACTCCCCAAACTGGCACCCCAGGCCAAACTCCCCCACTGGCCCCAACTCCCCCACTGGCCCCAACTCCCCCAGTCGACGGGCAACACTGCAGCAGAAGGCCGCTGTGAAGGTTCCAACCCGACCTCCGAATCACCACTCTCCGCATGGATGAGTGTGCGCTAAAAGAAAAAGTGCGCACTCTTCGTCGTCTTCGTCCTCGTCGTTGTCGCCCCCGCCGTCCTCGACAATGCCTCTCTCTCTCTCTCTCTCTCTCTCTCTCTCTCTCTCTCTCTCTCTCTCTCTCTGCGCCTTCCAACCTTCATGGGGGCTTCAACGATGACCTTTCTCTCTCTCTCTCCTTCTCTCTCTCTCTCCTTCTCTCTCTCTCTCTCTCTCTCTCTCTCTCTCTCTCTCTCTCTCTCTCTCT